TAATTCAATTCGGATCCGGATACGAATTTGTTTCATGTTCTACTTAATTAAATAATACTACTTTTTGCATATATTCTATTATGACATTTTCGTCACGAAGTTCATCACACGTTGTTAAGATTTTTGTTTTCGTAAATCATTTTTAATTATTAATTTGAATATTTCCTCTTTTTAAAACATACATTTTTAATGAATATTTAACATTGAACAGTATTTTTTCTGAATATTTGTACATTTTTTGGAATGGTTCAGCACATACTTTTCCTCTTTTCAATGCATAAATACATGCACATTTAACACTTTTTGTATGCATCAAATTCACAACCCTGACAATGAATAATGAAAACAGAGCGAAACACGCGAAAACTATTCTGCAACCGAGTGTACATGCGCGACGCCGTGTACACAATTTGTTCATTGTTGGATGTTTCACCTGTGTTTTGGACTGTCGTACGTTGAACCTAAACATGTTTATGTGCTGGTACGATGGTGGAAATAAAATAAATAAAGCACACCGATCGTGTTGGATGTTGTACGCCCGACCTACCGCAAAAGATGTACGAGGTTTATCTGCAGCGAGCTGATGACACGACGCGTGCAAAATACCATTACAAATTTGAAATCCCTGAAAGGCGAACAACAAAAATCAATATGAACCCGATCGAGCTTAATCTTTTAGACGAGGATAATGCGAGAGACGTTTGTGTGCCAGACCACGTATCCGCGTATTCCCCGCGGGATGTTTCGCAGAGCAATTAGACCCCAGTTCACATTTTATCTTTTTTTAATTCTGCCGGCCACAGCTTGTGCCGTTATCATAGGCGCAAGTAGGGTTAGGCGCAATAAAGGGACGGGGTGACTTCAGCTCTATCGTTTTTAACAAAAAAATTATAAGTTGAAGCTTTGTCACCGTACCTTTAAATGATCCAAAATAATCATTAAATTATTATTATTAGTTATAATGACTAACAGCGGTAATCATGCATGATAAAATTTTAATTTAAATATAATAAAAGCACAATCATATAAAATAATAAATTTATACGCTATAAAACGATGTTGAATCCGGGGAACTGAATTCGCATTAGGGGAGCTAAGCTCCCCAAGCCCTGTCGTAATTGCATCTATGACTGTAGAAAACGAAGTCCGGATCATCGGTACTATCTCGAAAAAACTCTTGCTAGTTAACTATTAATTACAAAATGACTCTCTTCGTATGAATAGATTATTTTGTATACAATCACTAAAGCAGTATTGCTAATTAAAATTGCAAGGTAAAAAATAAGTACTACTTATCAAGTAGGTGTTAAAAAAAAAACACAATTTTGTAATTTCAAATACTTAAAAGTAATTATGTTCCTGTATAATTCTGATTTTACTAATACAGCAAATTTAATTGAAAATTATTTATTTATTATTTAATTGGTTTTATATGTTTATAGTAATTTGTATTCTATAATATTTGTGGCATGCAATTGAAACCATTTATAATGACATTCAAGGGACCAGTAAAAATTGTTCATAATAACTAAAATCATTACAACCTTTAAAAAAAAATATGAATTCACTTATACATATATGTACATACCTATTTACTTAAATATTATTTATGTATTATGTATATCACGTATAAAATAGATAAATGTATATAAAAATTATCAAATAGTATTTGTGCATATATAAATTAATTTTAACGTGTGCAAAATATAATTAAAATTTACACATTAAGATGTACAAACACAACTGATTAAAAACTCAGATACATCCAGCTTAAACGTTTCTTGATTTAAATTTTACTGTTAATTATGGGGAATTTGAATATTTCGACCAACGACAAGTTCAAACACAAAACAACAATAATGTTATTGTGATATATATTATTGGCAGTCACTTATACGTTGTATATTACAAATTGAACAGTGTTTCCTTACAGGCTTAAAAATACAATTCCATTATTTGATATTTTAACCTGTTGATGTTGCGTGTTGATTATTGACTTTTAATGGGATCAGCTGGGAGTGACAGAAGATAATCATAATCTCGTAAAAACAGCCTTCGATAACTAAGGTCATTTGGTAATATTAATGTCACGACATTATGAGGAAATTGTTACAAAATAACTTCAAAATAACTTTTTTCACTTGGTAAATATATATATTTTTAATAATTATATAATGTAATAATTTTACTAAATGAATAAAAAAATTAGTTAATAATAAAATAATAACAATTATTGTTAATTCCATTATATATATAACAATTGACTATATCATGTGTGTGTGTCCATACTGTGATATGATTTAATTTTTTCATATACGATTTAATATATCAAATTTCCAGCTTTAGAAAATATATTCAAAGATAAATTATGGGTAGGTATAACAACGCAAAATAAGAAAGCCGTACGGTTAAGTGGTGCTTTCTATTTTATGTTTTATTTATGCGTATTAAAATGTACATTTATAGATGTGATTATTAAACTCTATAATACACCATAAAATGCAGTTCTAATATAAAAAAAAATATATATATTTTTCATGAATATATAACACAATACAGTTTTAAGTTGGAACTTCTTTTGAAATTAAAGCCATGTGTATTTTGATTAGAAAATTCAAAAACTTAATGTTAATATCTCGGATAAAACCCGATCGAGCTCGATCTTTTGGACGATGATAATGCGACAGACGTTGTGTGCCAGGCCGCGTATTATTAATTTCCCCGTCTAATTCGCGGGACGCTTCGCAGAACAATTAGACCCGAGTTCACATTTTATCTTTTTTAAATTCTCTCAGACACGGGCAATCTGTGCTGTTGTAAACGTAAACCGGAAACATTGGTATCGGCTCGAAAAATCTTTTGCTAGATAATTATTAACTATATGTTAACCCGCATCACATGAATAAATTAGTTTATAATATAATTAATAAAGAATTATTGCTAATTAAAATCGAAAGATAACTTAACCTGTTGACGGCCATGAGTACATTATTGTGCAAACAGTATGTTTGTCTATTAGGCCACACGAATTTTTATAAGTTGTACGTCTAGGTTGTTTATCAAAAGATAAAGTAGCAGTTTGATTAAAATTAAATTTATCATAATACGAGTATTTAAATAATTATGATTTTTATTTTTGCTAACTGAAGAAAACAGTTTCAGTAGGCCATAAAATCCATTTCCCTATTCTATATGTCGGAACCATAATTCTTCTTGTCCTATCCATAGACGCAATTTCAGTTTTTGACTTGTAGGGGGGGAGGGTTAGGAAAAACCAAAAATTTGTTGGATAGGATTGAGAATGATATGAGGGCTGTTGGTGTATGCGTAGGAAATGTAAAAAATTGAGATGACTGAAGGTTTTGGACAAGGGTGGCCAACTCCAAATAGTTAGGAGAAAGGCGAAGGAGAAGAAGAAGAATAAAATATTAATTTATGTTAATTAAATATTAATTATAATTTAACGAAATTATAAATTACAATATTAGGGTCAATTCAAGATTGAATAAAAAAAATGAACTGACAATTTTATCCGTTGAACGAATATAAATATTGTTTATAATAATTAATAATGAAAAATTTGAAAAATTTTCATTCATAAAATGTCATGTGCTAATAGTTGTTATACCCGGAGCGTATAGAGCAATCTTTCTTAAAGTCTTTGAGATCACGGAACACCAAAAATAATTTTTATGCGGAAATCCTTGGAAAATGTTCTTCAAAGCTTCATACAACATGGTGATAAATGGCAACATTAATATACAATAAAATAAGTCGAGTCGTTCTGGCACCCGCAAGTCGACCGATCGAATGCAAAGCAATTTCATTTTTTTTGTACCCGATTTGTATCCATCTAAATGTTCTTCCCTTTTCCTCATGACGTAAAACCGAATCTTAAGTACGAGCGCTGTAACGACGTCGTTCTAGCATCCAGATAAACTAAAAGTCGGCCGATCGAATCCCAACCGATTTAATTTTTTTGTACTCAATTTGTATCCATTTGAACCCTCCTTAAAAATATTGTACTCCGTTTCTTCTCTCGTAAAATTTAATTTTAGTTCTTTGTGCTGTTACAGCTTAGACATTGTCCTGACATCCGGCTTTCTGATTGGATACACTAATGGTGCTTATTATGTTAAACGTAATAACTCAAAAGCGTATCCAAGGGAGCTAAGGGGGATATTTTCCCTTCCTCTATTTGGCTCGGTTTATGTATACATAGTATTTAATATTTGACGACATACAGTTACAGAATTTCTTATAGTATAGTACAGTTGCTTGCATCTTTTTTTAGCTTGGAAAATAATTGAAAGTCCTATTCCTTTAAAAAAAAATATCTAAGTATTGTATATTCATTTTATATGAATATTTCTGAGGCGAATATTGCGAAATAAAATACTAATTATATAGTTTTACATTAATTTCCGCTTCTTGGTTTTAATAACTAGGTTTTTATAAAACCATAATATACCTACCTACATAATTTGTTGGTTTACATATTTTATAGGTGTGCTAAAATAATTTAATTAAGGTCCTTGAAATTTAAGATTTTATATTAAAGATATGTGTATCACTAATTGAATAAATAAATAAAAGTACATTTCAATGAATTTGCCTATGATTACATTTATTTTATACGACACACATACAGTGCCGGATTAAGAGCCGATGCCACATTGGAGAAAATAATGTTTACCCCCTCTCCTCAAAAAAAAAAAAAAATCCTGGTTTCTATGTATAAATTAAAAAATAAATTACCATTATAAAATATACCTAATATAATAACTAATCTACTTACACTTAAAAGTATAACTATATGTTTAAGGTCACTGAATAATTTTCCAAAGAATTTTTTTAAACTAATGAAAAATAATCACAAAATACAATTAGAATAATAATAAGTTGGTTCAAAAATATACAGATAATAATAAAAGTAATTTATAATATTAACATCAATCGTACGTGTTATATTTAAATTTGTATTTTTATTACGAAGCATTTTTACACAAATACAAGTTTAATATTATTCGTTATTTGTTTGTTTACTTGTGTTATTCAAAAACATTCGGATACGATGCCTTACTTTTTGTTGATTTTCGTAAAATCTATAGAGTCTTACAATAATCGAAGGCTCCGTTTCACTGTTCTATAACAAACGAAAATAAATGTTAACATTTTATGGTTTTTATTGTATTTATGACAAAATTAAATGTTTTATTAGCCGTTATGTTTGGATAATACAAAGATTTCGTTCTATACAATTTTTAAATAACCCTATATATAAACTGTATTATAACATTGAAGATCAAATCGATCAATTAACTAAAAAAAAAAAAAAAAAAAAAATGAGATTGGATGGACTAATTTCTAAGATAATTCAATTTTTCTATTTTTTTTTACCTTCACCTAACCAACATACGAATTTCTATTAATTTATTAAAACTAACGAACGATTGTAATATGTGTTTAACTTTTATTGAAACTATTTAGTACTTCAATATTCTTTAACATGATCAAAAATATTATCTATGCATTCTTTTGTCCAAGCTATCTTCACTTCGTTATGCTACCTATGATTGTACCTTTTCGTGAATATTTATAAAAATTACTTATCAAGAAGTTGTATATTTGTAGTAATGCCAATTCGGTTCAAAAACAATTTGCCACATACAGCTGATATGTTGTAAATGATAGATTAAAAAAAAAAAAAAAATCGAGACCATAATACTATGAAATTGATTATTCTATTATTTTGTTAATTTATATAATATATACAATGTATGTATTATACAAATATTTATGTGTATATTATACATATAAAGAAAAACGTTAACTCTTATACTTACATAAACAACGGATATATTGCCAGTCTGATCGATTACCGCCGGATAAGACGAATAAATTCTATCACTAATGTGACCGGGTCTTTGTACAATTGTCATCATACACACTTTCCTGTCGCCCGTACCGCGACACCAGTCAATTATGTGATGGCACACCGCAGATATAACACGCTGTCTGTTTGCTTTCGTTTGAACCGATTGCTATGCAGAAACAGAGTACACATACAATGATGATTTTACAATTTTTTTTATATCCAATTGAATTATCTGTAAACATAAGTTTTACAATAAGTTCAAGTGTTTTAAAGTTAACATAAAATAATAAAATAAACAGTTAAGATTTTAGAGACTAACGATTTTGGGGGAAAAACCTTCAATCGACGGACTTTCATGTCTTGCATATATGGGGGATAGCCGCCTACTTGGATCACCGAGAATGGTGGGAATGGATAGTCCTGAAACCAGGGGTTACGATGATTTATTACATTTTAATAGAACAGCTTGTAAAAGATTTTAGCAACATATTCAACGTAGTGAATAAAGAAATCTTTGTGAAGGGTATCATTTGAGACAAAGTACGAAATGTCGATTCGTTCGAACTGCACGTCGTCAAAGCGCATCGCCATTAACCTAACGCTGCCGTTCGATCTGTGCCCCGGCCCTGGAGGGGGGCAAGAGGTGCGATCGCACCGAGCTTCGCACTCGTATGGGGTCCCACAAATTATGTATTACGAATATCATTTTATCTATAGATAAAAATAGTATAGCAAATTAATAGTAATAGTACACAAGTCGCAACCCGTGTCGTTTTCTCATGAAACGGGTTGTTGTCGACGAAAACTATGACGGTACCGATTACGCATAGTTATAGTATGTATTTAGGTGTATAATAACAATAGATGAGGTTAGTTAGTTAGTTAATCGATACGTACCAGCTGCAGCTCGTGGAGCATGTCGACCCAGTCGGCCGGCAAGTGTTCGATCACGTTGTGCTCCGTCCGTCCGCACTGCAGCGACCCGTTTGCCGGGCCGGATCCCGTCGTCGTCCACTTGGCTCCGGTCGTGTCCAAGAAACGTTCGCCCCAGATGTGCACGCCCGACAGTTCGCACGCCTCACACTAAGGGCAAACGCGACGTTCAAACCAACGCCATCGTCCGGTCGCGTTGTCGCGGGAACGAGACGAGTTTAGCGACATGCCCTAACGGCGTTTTACCCGATCCGGCCAACGGTTGAGATAAAATCTCAAAACGTCGACCACGTTTCGAAATTTCGAATAAGAAGTGTCTCGGCGGACGGACGAACGATAGAGACATTTTTTCGTACCACGGTTTCGCATGCGTTTCGGATAAAGTTGGCTGGGCCGACGCAAACAGCGGTCGTATTCAGTGTAGGGCAGAGGACATGGGCCAGGGGCGCAATTCCAAGAAGTGCGCAAATTTCAACACTACTCGTGTAATATTTTTCACGAAATATGAAAAAGATGTAGTCAAAATAATTTCATTTGATAATGTCATTGATAAATTTGCCTCTATAAAAGCGAAAAAAGTACCGTTGTAATATTGTATAAAATAAATGTAAAACCGTCTAATACGATTGTAAAACAAAAACATTTGAATAAAATCAGATGTTTTTATCGTGTTTATTGATTGTTTATGTTTTGATGTAGTACAAATGTTATTAAGGTTTATTAGTAATTATTAACTCGTATACTATGTTTTTTATATATGCTTTACGTATCTCAAATGATTTGTTGTAAAAAAATACAAAATTCCCATTTGAGGGGGGGGGGAGGAGGAGGAGGCGCAAATACAGTGATTCGCCAGGGGCAGATGATGTCGAGATAACGTTTTTAACCGTAACACGGCATGTCGCCGGAACGTCCCGGGCCCTTGTGCGAATCGCCGGATCGCGATTTTCCGCAAACGGTACGCGTTGTGTTACGCGTACGTCCAGTTTCCGAGCGATTAGCTCCCGCGCTTCGTTCGCGTAGTGCCTCGACAGACCGGTGAAGTTGTGCGCGCTCAGGTTGGTCGCGACCTCCGCGAAGATCTGCAACCACGTGCTCGACCGCGGGCCCATCACCAGCACCCTGGCCCTCGGACCGGCCAACCGGTCGAACAGCTCGGCCTGTTGCAACATGACGTTCGGGTTAACGACCGGTTACGGTTACCGTTGTGACGTGTTCCGTCGACCTTTTCGAAAACGTGCGCCAAGCTCTCGAGGTTTTCGACGGCCTCGGCCGCGACTCCCGCGCCCGAACCGGACGTCGTCACAATCAAATAGTCGGCGTCCCGAAACGCCGCACGCTGGTCCTCGGTCGCGACGAGTTCTGCGGACCGTCGTAATGATGTTCACGTTGTATAACGAACACAGCTCTGTATTTCTGTGTACGGGGTCGACCGTTGATAACTCGATAAGTTCGACGAGAGGAACTTATGTTCCGCTTACTTAAGATTTCGAGTTATCAAAATCATAATTATTATGTGTGCGTTAAAAAAATGTTTACACGAACTTTATTTTTTTTACAAGTTTTTTAAATTATGGCTTTGTATCGAAGCTTTGTTTTTTTTTTAATTGCATCTTTATTTTTATTATTACATGTATGCGTATGCGTGTGTCTTACGTTTTTTCCTTTCTCATAACTCGAGAAACAAGCTTTAAGGTGATGATTTTCTTTGATAATTATTTAATTAATGTTCATCGTTCACAACATATTCAATTCATTCGACGAGTGTATAAAGACTAAATTTACACACACCAGACTGAACGACGATGTGTTTGAAGGACATTGGCCTTAAGGTCTCTAACATGCTACAGAATAATTTTCAGAACTTTCACAATCCAAGGTTTTTTTTTTTTTTTTTAATAAAAATACAGGATGGAATTTTTTTCGAAAATTGAATCGGTAAAATCTACTCGTTATGGTTAAGATCTTTTACTGATCTGGGATACATGAAAATTATGTTGAGTTTAGGTTTAAATTTTTATTTGTATTTGTAATTGTATTAATTAATGGGAAATAAACACTTACTCGTGATTATTATTAATCGATGAATACTTCTTAAAAATAAAACGTATCGAAGATACAATACAGCATATATGTATATATTATTAGATACGTTTAAAATGCTGCTTATTAATGTACCGTTCATATTGGAGAAACCGAATGTTTTAATGTACTCCGCCATTTCTTTTACCGCGTCCGTGTCAAAAGTCAGTACGTATAAATCCAGTTTATTTTCGGCAAAAACTTTTCTCTGGAGTAAATTGAACGCTAACTCGACGCTAAACATGTTACATCCCAGAGAGATGACAACTTTAGTAATGCGATTCATTGTACTGTAATATTTATTCTATGTACTACTTCACATGAAATAAAGCGCATTGGTTTAATTCAATTATTAATTAAATGTTACGGTCTTATAACAGTGTAATGTATAACTACCAGGGCAACGAGTATTTTTTTTTTATAAATAAAACATAGGAATGGGTCATGACTTTTGGTTGTAAAATAATATCATAATATTATTATGTACACATTTCTATTTTTATATTATATTTGATATAATTTCAGCACTTCTGAAAACTGGGAAAAACGATAATAGTCAATATTTCTAAATTTTTTAGTATTGCAGTTTTAAAGTTACTAAGTTAAAAAAAAAACTAAGAGATAAAGTAAAACATGATTAAAAAAAAAAAAAAATTTATTGTGTTAACACAACTAATTGTATATAAAATTAATAAAAAAAAATTGAATTTACTTTTCAAAGCAAATTATAAGATGATATAATTATTAGACTTTTGATGCTTTTGACTATTATCGTTTCTCCCCGTAACCCTTAAAATTTATAATGTATACTCTTATATTTTTATATTTTAAATAAATAAAGTATAAATACAATTATTTATTAGATTCTGACTACATCGATACAAGATAATACCTTAGTGGTGCATCGGGGTAAAATACTATTCTGTATGTTATTAAATATTAATGTAATAATTTGTAATATTTGTTAAGTATTATTATTATTTAAAAAATGTACAAGCCATGTAAAATACATTATTATTAATGACAAGTATTTATTTGTATTATTTTTGTATCACTGCGTCTTGGGCAAAAAAATTGCTGTCGCAGTCTCGGTATGGTCACGTGGGATGAAATCCGCGAATCAACGCAGTCACACGTTGTGAGTGTTTAGTGACCATATCTGTTGGTTATCAGCGTAAATTCCGATGGGCCTAGCCCTTTCAGGCGTATTTGTTTTATTATTTTTATGTGAATTTCCGCCACGGGCACGTTAGTTTTATTAAAATATTTGCATTATCGCCATGGGCACGTTGTTTTTATTATATTTCATATCACCTTGTTGATTTATTTATATTTATTTATTTGATCCATTTATTATCTTATTCGTATTATATCCTTGTTGCTGCGATTAGTTTCTGTTTATTTATTGTATTTATTGCATTTGTTGTGCCAATCAGGCAAATATTTACATTTAGATTAGGTAATACATTCCTAAATTATTATTTTTAATGTACCGTTCATTTGTTTATTTCACCAAAAGCACCACTCTCCATTAAATTACTATACTAAAAATGAACTTACAAACAAGAATTTATTTTATTTTTATAATTTCTAAAATAGAAAGCATACGTATCTTTGTCGTGATTATTTGATGAAACAATCACAAATAATTAAATAACAATCGGTTTCACGTTGTATGTCAATAAATAACACAATTAATACAAATTAAAACTATTGCAATAACAAACTAATGCTAATTCGGATAATCGATCTAAAAATTATTTCGCAACAAATAAACTACATTCATATTTGGCGCATAAATACATTTAAGAACATTTTATTTTCATTATACGAATAACAATTGATTTAACTTAGGTATTTTATTTTTAATAAACAAATTGAACATTGACTGATATGCTATGGGTTTCGAATCAGTGTCATATAGCCATTAAGAGTTGTTTGAAATCTCAACTTTATTTCATTTTCTGTTACACAACTCTATAGATTGGGGGGGGGGGGGGGAATACAAAGACCGTAAATAAACAAACAAAAAAAAGATGATAATAATACATCAATGGGGGCTTCGTTTAACGAATACAGTAACCTTAACCAATCGAATAAAATTGATTTCTAACTAAAATTAAAACAACGAATCGGAGTACTACGAAAACAATCGTAAAAGAGAAATTTTTCTTTTCCGAAAATTCCGTTAACGTTGTAACATTAATGATGTACAATCGAGTAATGTTTCATCGCGTTACGATTACGCAGTTGTACTCGGAACACAATATACGTCTCCTCTGATTCACCCATTAATCATTGTACCGTCGAAACCCAACTGTACCGATTGCACTAACATTGTACCGATCCGGACGAGTGCACGTTGGACTGCGACAAATCGTAACGACGGACATTGGTTCACGCGCTCCGCGTGCGGTGTAGTCATTCTTTCAATAAAAATGAATCAACGCGTTTTTAATAGCGATTCGATCGCAGACAAGCCGAACGGAAGTGTAAAACGTATGCGCGTTACGGGTACCACCCGGTAACCGTTCCTCCGTCCGGTCGGTGTATTCGGTAACGTCGATCGCGCTACGCTGCGCAGAAGGTCATCGTCATCGTTAAGTACGTGCGTGCAACGTAACTTTACGCGGAAAATGAAGTGATGATTCAGTTACACTTGGACGTAAACACGTTCGGACTGTTGCGCCGACCGTGGGCTCATACCACGCGCGTTGGTGGAATTGCGTTCGACTCGACTGGGCAGCGGTACTTAATAATGTACGAAGACGTAACGCGCATTGCGCAACGCTATCTACGGGTACGTGTGTGAAGCAATCTTCATTGTGATACACGGTGTTGACGCGCCCGAACCGGTCGCGGAACCGTGCGGCCGACGAAGATTTCCGATCTACGAACGGGCGGGCGACTCCTACGACGTAGCGCTCGTCGGTGCAACAGTTCTCGTCGGGCCCCGATCGAAAAGTCTAAGAACTAGAAACGTAGACCGACCACTGGCGTAGCGGTGCGCAACCTAGGGGGTCGTCGCCAATGATTCAAAACCGAATGAAAAATGTTTGCGTACATCA